GACGGCGCAGGGAAGGGGGCTCCCCCGCACCCCAGGCAAGACCAGTGCGTGCTGGGAAGGTGTGTGCAGCTGCATAATTAACCGTTCTCTGCGACAGAAACGTCCTCCCCTGTGGACTGTACTGCAAGCGTTATCTGTCCCGGGGTAGTAGTCGGGGAGAGGAGGATGTGAACACCGCCTTCTGAATTGCAGGTGCGCGGTGGTGTGCCTGGCGTGACCGTGCGGAGCGCTCGGCCGCTGGCAGCGTCGTCTCCGGACGGCCCGTAGCAGCAGCACGTGGGGAGTGCGAGAAGCAGAAAGCATGGAGCCGTGCACTAGGATGAATCCCATAACCTCCACAGCTTGGGACAGCCCTGAAAGGAATACAGAGCTGGCTGGTCAGAAGAGAAAATAAGTAGCCAAGGTAAAGATCACAAACTGTAGGACGCAGCTACAAAACCGATGTAGGCTAGCACCGTCAGGGCCCCGGGAACAGTGGGGTGTGTCTGCAAAGCCCCGGCCGGAGGTCCAGATTAGATACCCTTCATACCGTGTTTCCGTAAAGCTGTGGATGTTGCCTACAGTAACCCTGTGCCCCACACAGGCAGATGTTCTCCCTGGTTAGGTTTCCCCATTCAAGCAATAACCCAATATGCCCAGGGATATGCTTCTGCCAGCCCCAGATGAAATCCCCGAAGGAATGTCCCCTTTGCTGACAAGGTTTGTCCCCTCCTTTCACAGGGATGTGACTGATCGTGGCAAAGGAAGAAACTCTTTCTTACTCCAGACTAGGCTGTTAATTTTGCAAAGGTTATCTGCTTTCTGCTGAGCTGCCTTAGCAAATCTGAGCATAGCAGCAGTGTGGCAGTGGCAACCCAAGCAAGGAAATCTTTGCGGGGTCAGAGGGGGACTCTTCCTTCTACCTTGTGAGCTCAGATGTTTCCCCGGGTGGTGGCTGTTGGACATTTGTCAGATGGTGGTACCACTGAGATGCCGAGGGATCTGCTCCTGCAGCGTTGCTGCTGACAGCTTTCAGCGACAAACCCTGCTGTTTGTGGTTAGCTGCCTGAGGGAAAGGTCTCCATGTGGACAGGGTTTTGACTCCTCCTGCCCCAGAGCGGGGGTGGGCCATCTGGTACCTACTGCAGCACGTAAATAGCTTGAGCGGCTTGTACTGCCAGACCGTCACAGCAGAAGTTCCCCGCAGTGGCAAAATCCTGAGAGCCGTAGGGCTGCAGAAAGGTACGTCCCTTTGTATATTGCCTTGGGACTGCCGGAAATGATCCATCTGCAGGGCTGGTCCACTTCAGCATTCAGCAAATATTTAAAGTAGGAACTCTGATTATTAACGTTTAAGGCTTTTTTTTTTTTCCCTAAGGCTTCCTTTTTCCTTACCAGATTATTTTTTTTCCCTTCATGGTTCTGTATGTCAAGATTCCAGTCTCTCTTCTGCTTGCTCCCTTTCTTTCTGTCCAGCTTTGCCACCCAGGATCAAAGACTTCAAGCCTGGTGGTTTTATAATCACTGGCATCAGAGGTCCAAAACTGCCCCCTTTGTCTGAGTTGTCTCCTTGATTCTGACACTGCTACTCCCTCGTTACCCATTACGTGCCGTTAAATAGCTGTTGGTGATGGATGAAGTGATTTAGGACCGGGCTCTCATGAGGGTGTGTTTGCACCAGAGCCCATCTGTACAGTTAGTTCCACTGGAGCTTGAGTTGTTGTCCAGAGGTGTATCTTTCCCTTGGCTCAGCCAGAAGTAAACGAGGGAGATCGGTAGCTTGAAGCAAAGTTCAGGGAGTGCATTTCTGAAGTGGTGCAAGCTGGTATTTAGGTAATTATAAAGATTAAAGGGGAGGGGGAAGGTAATAGATTCTTTAAAAATATTCCCATGAGTAGTCTCAGCTTTAGCTGTGATGTACATCAGTCTCCAGTCCTAGATTCACCCGCGTGTCATCCTTTCCCTGCCATCTTTGATTCTTACCAAAGGAAAACAGGGAGTGCATTTCTGAAGTGGTGCAAGCTGGTATTTAGGTAATTATAAAGATTAAAGGGGAGGGGGAAGGTAATAGATTCTTTAAAAATATTCCCATGAGTAGTCTCAGCTTTAGCTGTGATGTACATCAGTCTCCAGTCCTAGATTCACCCGCGTGTCATCCTTTCCCTGCCATCTTTGATTCTTACCAAAGGAAAAGTCCTTGTCTTGGGTGCGGATG